ACTCCATCACAACTAGCAACACTTTCCTTTAATGCTTTACGTGCTGTGTCACCTTCATCAAGGTAATCATTGTAATTGTGACTTTTATGCTTTACGTTAAGACAAATTTGACAAACCAATTTATTGCAATCCTTGCAATAGTACGTCAGCTTTTGGTCTAAATGTCGTGCACAGTAAACTGCCTCATGCTTAATAGCAGGCAATTCTACAGATTCCTTTGTTTCTAGACCGATTAGCTTGTGATCGGCTTTTTTCTTGCTTCGTTTATGACTTTTTTTACAATGCTCACACAGGAACAGGCCACAATCACAGCAATACACTACAGCTGCATCACTGGAATCATCAACGCTACATTTATCACACGATATTGCTTCTTTGCTATCAATTTTCTTTTTGATCGAAGCCTCTCTTGATTTATGTTCAAACCAAAGGTTTTGAGTGAGGCCTTCAATTTTACCATCAGGTAAATTAACGCTAGTGTCACACGTTGGACACTTTAATGAGGTATCAGCACTACCTTGCTTCTCTTTAGCTTTTATTAGACACTTCTTACAGAATGAGTGAAGACAGGGAAGCATGAGGGGGTCAGTGTAATACTCTGAACAAATCTCACAAGTCATACTTACAGTAACGGTTGGACTTTTGTTTCCCATTTCCTATGAATAAAATAAATTATCACAATACCACTGAGTCTGAAGTATGTTACTTTAAGAATTGTTCTTACTTCTTAGTCAAGAGAATAGACTCCAAGCAGCTAGCCGCACCTTAATTTAAAGTGGGCGGTTTCACTGGTTACTCAATACAGCATCCGCCCACAGTCACACATGGCGTTCAATGGTGATGCTGGTTTCAAGGTCTCAGTGGAATCACTCCATACTACCAGAGTCAAGGAGATCAACTATGATGGAGAAGAGATATATGAAGGGTAACAGTCTATAATAATAGATCTACAGAATGTAATTAATTGATTACGTGTTATTTTTGACTCTTTAATTTTGATTGGGAATTCTAAATTAAAGTGACACAAGTTAATAACATAAAATACTTAAAGCATGCAAAAGATGCAGTTATGTGTACAATGTACACTAAAATTGTTATTTTTTCACTGTACATGCATGTATGTGTACTTATTTGTAGGAGACCTTCTCTCTCAGAAACTAAGTGAATTAGCTCAACATTACAGTATAACAGTAATGGGTACTGTAGTATGAAGCAACTTTAAAAATTTGTAAAAACTAAAAACTCTAATTTTTATTGGAATCAGCTCAAACTTACTACAAAACATGAGAACATGTATATGCATCAGGAAAAATTATAAAAGAGGAAAATTCTCACCTTTTCATTTTTGCCAAAAATTGGCTCCTGACACTGTACTATAGTACAGGGATTTTTACCCGATTTTGGAGCAACTTTAAAAATTTATAAAAAATCCATATTTGATCAGAATCAGCTCAAACTTTCTACACAACATAAGAACATGTATATGCATTAGAAAAAAATTATAAAAGGGGAAATTTTCACCCTTTCATTTTTGGCCAACGACTTTGGCCTGATTTTTAAGTAACTTTAAAATTTGTAAAAAATCTAATTACTATCGGAATCAACTCAAACTTGCTACACAGCATGAGAATATGTACATGCATGCGTACTAAAAAATAATAAAAATGAAGAATTCTCTCCAAGTCATTTTTGATGAATCTTTACTATCATTATTTATTGCAGCTGGTTCAATATATGCTCAGTCAGTTCAGTTTGAGGTTCATAAAGGAATTGAAGGTACTAATGATATACTGTCAGTAGTGGTACCTCAAGAATTAAGAGGAAGGAGTGAAGTAGTTATATTCCTAGCAGACAGACCTATTAAAGGTAATGGTATGTCACATGACTATCACATGATTGTATATGTCATCTATGTGTACATGTTGATGTGGTTTTTGTTCCAGAGGTTGTTTCTCTTGATTCTTTGTTGCCATCTTGTTTCATTGAGCTTCATAAGCAACAGTTGATGTTAGCGCTCCATGGGAGCAGATACTTAAATCAGCTCAAAATGTGCTCTTCAATGAAGAACTGTTTGCACAGGTATAATACTGTACTATAATAATTAATGTATTTGTATTAATTTGGTTTAGATTGTACAATCATTTGTGATGGGGAACTTGTATTATATAATGTGAAACTGCACAAGAGGAAAGGTTAGAAAGATGTAACGAGATTACTAGAATATACAAAGTTTTACTAGGTCATGACTAGTGGGTGGGTCATTGAACCTTATCGCTATAAAGAAAAACTACTGACACAAGTCACGTATCTTGTACAGGGGTGTGGTTGTGGGTGGAGTCAAACATGACGTACATTGAATAGGTTGATATGGGAGGAGTACCAGCAACACTGGTTAATATTGTGTCAAGACGTCAGCCATTAGCAGTTGCATATTTACGTGATTATTTAGAAACAACTAGTTTAAATTCAAATAGAAATGGAAGAGAGAGTAGACCCAGTTTATTATCAGGTACTGATTCACCTAGTGATCTAACTATGATGTATAAAACATATGTATAATGTATTATAGTGTACACTAGGAACATGTGTATGTACTAGTATATGATGATGATGATGATATTTTGAGATTTTCTACTTTTTCTTTATTTTCAAAATTTTGAATCAAATTAATCTATTGATAACAATAATAATTAATAGTCACTTAAAGTAGAGAGGAGAGAGAAAGGGGGAGGGAGAGAATTGTGTGTGTTTGAAGAGAGATGGAAGGGAAAAGAGATAGAAAAAGACAAAACAAAAACATCATTTTATACAAGAAATTGTAAGATTATTTTTCTATACCTAGTTTATTTGAATGATTACTTTAATATTTTGTTATACCTTTGTTATCATATTCAGCAACATAAATATATCCATCCTTATCCAGTGCTCCACCCTTTGGAGTAGATAATCCTGAGATTAATTTGACTTCTTTCCTGTCAGGACTCAGTACGTGAAGATAGTCATTGTGATGTGATAAAAAGATATATCCTTCATCATCAATAGCAATACCATAAGACCGGCCATTACTGTATGTATCAAGATGAGTTTTACCATCAGGAGAGAAGACTTGAACATGATTGAGATTGTAAATGGTAACGTGTATCTTTCCTTCATTATCAACTGCTACATCAGTTGCTCTACCATCACATTGTATGACTTGTACAAATGTACCATCTTCTTTAAACACTTGTACTCTACTGTTGACATAATCAGCTACTAATATATTACCTTTACCATCAGTAGACATACCACGAGGATTAGAGAATTGTCCATTTCCATCACCTTCACTACCAAACTGACCAATATACTGACCAGTAGTAGCTGAGAAATACCGCACACGATGAAGATTATTATCAGACACATAGAGCCTGTCTCCTACCAGCAATAAACCCCATGGGTATTGAAGCTGTCCATTACCATAACCTTTAGATCCAATCCTTCTTACTGCAGTACCATCCTCGCTAAATACCTGAACAAACCCATCAATGCAATTACCAGCAAATACTTCACCATTAGTATGAACAGCAACACCATAGGTACCCTTCCCCACATTAAAGGATCTCTGGTTAGTTAGTGTGGTATAGTCTCTTGATGCTTTTACTGACAGTTGATAAGGACTACCTTTAATATGGTGACCACTTATAGTCACTGATAGTTCATATCCACCAATACTTTGAGGTGTGCATGATACAATGGCTGTGTTGTTATCATTAACTATAACAACTCTACCCTCCTCTTTACTACCATCACTTTTGATAAAGGAACCCTTTAAATAGCTTGCTGCTTTATCAATGCCTGCTGGTAGAGACACTTTGAATTTTCTTTCTTTCTTTACTGTTGCCAGTGGAATAGCTAACCCACTATCAATGGAATAAATGACTGGATCAGCTTCAAAAAAACTGCCAAATTTATGAATCTCATCGCTAATAGCAGTAGTATCAAGGCATGTGAAAACTACTTTTCTATACTCTATTTCTAGAGGTAGTTTCTTATACTCTTCAATGCATTCCTCTAGTTGATTGGTGATTAGCTTCTTAACACTCAGAACTTCACCTGGATCAGTACGCTCACTCACTGATGATGCAAGATGACGACCATGAGAAACCTGTTTTACCAGTTTACGAAACCCGTCCAACTGCTTCTCGACAGAATTCCTCTTAGCATTAGCAATCTCTTCTGTCTCCATTAGTAGATCATTGCATCTCTTATCTAAAACAGCTTTAAGCTCTTCAAACGTTTCCTTGATTTCCTGCCTTACTTCTTCTTTATGTGTTGCTATCTGCTCTAGCATCTTCTCTCCATTAGCAATAGCTTCAGTGACTGGAGGAATGACACCATCACAACTAGTAACACTTTCCTTTAATGCTTTACGTGCCGTATCACCTTCATCTATGTACTCAACGCAATTATGATCTTTATGCTTAATAGGAAGGCAATTACGACAAACTAATTTTTCACATTCTTTGCAATAATACAGCAGCTCTTCTCTTGGGTGTCGTGGGCAATAGACTGGCTGCTGTGCTGTGACAGGCAGTTCTTCAATGACTCTCTCCTTTCCCATGTCAACCAGTTTGTGTTGACTCGTGAT